GGCCTAAAGGTAGACAAAGCCACTGGCCCCACCTTCCCTCTACCCATACTTCAATTCCCCTTTCTTGGTCTCCATGAGGGAAGTGACATCACAAACTAATGAAACCAAGCCCATGTTCTCATAATCATGGGTTTCATAAGAAAATCCCATAATCATGGGGAAAAAAACAGTTAACAAATTCCACTAGATGGACATTCTGATATATACTTCACCAATGCTCCTGAGATTTTTCAGTAGCACAAAACAAGTAAGGTTTGAAGAACTCACAGCTGAGAGCAGTATAGCCCTGACCCAGAAAAGGGACAGCAGATAGATGCTGGCCAGTCTGAATATAGATATATAACATTTAATAATAATGGGTCAGTATCGGTTTATTCATTGTAACTTACCCATAAGTACCATACTGCGATACTAGTATCTCAGGAGATTTCGCCAAGCAAGAAGTCAACTAACTGGGTGATTCTAAACAGGTTTTGTGAATGTCTCACTGACTCACCTGTAGGAGAAAACAATTCTGCAGTGAGTCCTGCAGTGCTTGAGACTTGGAATAAAGATGGTCTCCACATAAAACAAACAGTGACATCAGGGAACTTTCTTGATGGCGCAGTAGGTTAAAGAACAGCACTATGAAGCTATCCGCAGCCACTGCAGCATGAGCACCCAAGTTAGATTCTGAGCCAGGGAGCCGATCCACAGGGCGCAGAACTCTCCTGTCTCCCCACTGCTCCCCTCAGCAGTGGATTTCAGTCCATCTGCCTGTTCTGCTCCCCACTCTGTCTCTGGTGAATCCTCTCACCACCCCCACTACCACATACCTCTGGGCCTGTGCCCCAGTTCTTGTATGCATAAATAAATCTTTTTTAAAAACAGCAACATCTATTTGCTTGATACTGTTGGACATTATTTCCATTGATTGGATATGAACTGGCGCTGTTCTAGAACTGTGCCACAATCTGCTTACCTATCAGAGTTATGAAAGTTACTCTATAGCCAGTTTTTAAAGTTGTAAAACCCTTATAAATGAAATGTGTGGGGTGGGGTGGTTAGGGTAAATTGTGGGAGATAGTAATAGAAAAAAATATATATTTTTTTTCTGTAAAGCTGAGACTGTTTTTGAAAGTAAAGACTAATTTAAAAAAAAAAAACAAACTCCAAACTCTTACACACAAATACGCACCGCTGAGTTGAGTTCTTTATCTAAACCATCTACTCTGGAGCTTGCTTTTGAAATGTCTTCTCTTTAATTCCCGCAATAAGCCAGGGACGTGGAAATAGTCTTGAATCTGTGAGAAAGTTGAGGCTCCATCAAGTGACGTCATTTCCCCAAGATGTGCACCTAGCAAGGCTTGTTTTTCAGAGCCTGGACTGTCCTGGGAGTCTGGGCCCACATACTCTAGACCCTTTAACGCCGACTGAGAAGGCTTGAGATGTTGCTAATAGCATCTCGTAGTCCCTATAAACTTGTCCTGGCCTTGTATCATTTTCTAGTGGTTTCCCCCATGACAGCTTTTCTGTGATGTGTCCATGATGCAGCCTCCACTCCACACTGTGCTACTCAAGAGTTTGGCTCCCTAGAAGAGCACGGTGATTAGATCTCAGGTCTCTGCGCCTTTAGCAGAGACCAAGCAGGTTCTAATTCCTGCAAGAGCCCCAAGGCCAAAGTGACTGTCTCCATTTAACTTTCCAGATCTTAATGACATTCAAGTACTTGGCCCTGACCCTCACATGGGAGGAATGGGATCAGATGGCACTAACTCAGGGGACCCTGTATCGGGAAGTGATGCTGGAGACCTACAGGATCCTCATCTCACTGGGTAAGTCTCAGAGCCCTCCCACGTGGGGAACCATGTCCTCCTTCATGTCACCCTCTCACTCTAGGCCTAAAGGTAGACAAAGCCACTGGCCCCACCTTCCCTCTACCCATACTTCACTTCCCCTTTCTTGGTCTCCATGAGGGAAGTGACATCACAAACTAATGAAACCAAGCCCATGTTCTCACTCCAGTACCTAGCACAGGCTGGCCTTGGCCTGTGGACCAAATTCCAGATTCTCACCAGATGGAAAATAAATGGCCAGACTTGGTTGCGCTGTGTCCATAAAACCTGATTGACAGGAGCTGGGCCATTCACCAAGCCCCTGGGTCAGGCAAACCACCCAGCAGCAGTGAAGCTGCTGAGGTATGTTTTAAAAGCTTCTAATGGAGCTAACAGCATGTCAGGCTGGCTGGGGTAAGCCCCAGGGGGTGACTTTTCCATCTCAGACCTTAAATGATAGCCCACTGCATCCCTGAAATGGTATCTAATCTGTTCTCATATTTTGATTTCTTGATCAGTTCCCAGTATGCTGAGTGGCTGAGTGAGGCTGAGGCTGGCACTTCTGAGCCATAGCAAAGGCAGGATTCTTCCTTGTTCCCATGAGAGCTACTTGGGGAAGTTATTTTTCTATGACTTTGTGTCTGACCCAGAGAGGTCAGAACAAAGAGTTCTGATATTAAAAGTTAGAACATTGGGGCCTCCCTAGTGGTGCAAGGGGTTGTGCATCACTACCAAGCTACCACAGCCACTGCAGCACAGAGTTCAATCCCCAGCCAGGGAGGTGACCCACATGGTGCAACAGATCTCCCCTGTCTCGCCTGCTGCTCCCCTCAGCAGTCCATCTGCCTTTTCTGCTTCCCACTCTGTCTCTGGTGAATCCTCTCCCTCACCAGACCTCGAGTCTGTACCCCAGTTTTTGTATGCATAAGTAAATATTTTTTAAGTTATTTTTTGTCCCATCTCAGCCTATATGTTATTGAGGCTTTTCATGGTGACTTCATCCTTCTAACTTCACCACATACTATTATTCATATTTTATATGGATGAGTTTGTTTCTTTTTTTAACCCACAGATTCACCCATCTCTTGGATCCTCTTTTCTTCTATAATTGGAGATCTGTAACCTGGGATCACTTTACATCATCCTGAAATAGAAAGTCCTTAAATAAGAATTTCATTACCTGAAGGTGAAATTTATATTAAAATTCTCATGTTTGGCTGAAGTAATTTATTTTTCGTTCTTTCTTCAGAGACACCATTGCATGTATATAGGCAGGTTAGCAATTATTTCTTCAGGCCTTTTCCTCAGTACCCCTAAACCATAACTGTCCATTGAGAACAAATGGTGACAAATAATTCACTGTTTTGTTCTTGGCTTTCATTCTGCAGTGAGGTTAGGAACAAATTCTGGCACTGAAATGGGAGTGGTTGTTGGGCAGGATTTGTGTTGTCACATAAAAGGTGGGTGAGAGTTGAACATAGTGCCTGCACCTTGATGAGGACATGATCCGGTCACACATTGCTCTCTGAGGACCAGAGAGGTATCAGGAGGAGGTAAAGCCCTTGGAATTAGAGTAACAACGACTTGTCAACTGCTGCCACATACTTGAAAGCATGTCCACTCCACTTCCTACTTTGGCCAATGAGCAGACCGACTAGATCTTGGCAAGTGCTGAATCACGTGACCTGTAAGCATGCATGTGCTAGGCAATGGGCCTCCCTATAAGAAATCCTCCAGTATGACTCATTTAAAAAAATAAACTTTTGAGGGCTCTCCCCGGTGGCACAAGGGGTTAAAAGTGCAGCACTATGAAACTATCTGAAGCCACTGCTCAACAAGTTCCATTCCCAGCCAGAGGGATGACCCACATGGCGCAGCAGACTCTCCTGCTCCCCTCAGCATTGTATTTCAATGCCTCTGCTTGTTCTTCACCCCGCTCTGTCTCTGGTGAATCCTCTAGCCCCATCCTCGCACCTCTGGCTTATACCAGTTCTTATATGCACAAATAAATAAATCTTTAAAAAATTAAAACTTTTGAAAAGGAGCCAAATAGTACAAGTTATATCACAATTATGTATCTAGCTGTTTATTGGTAAACCTCACTAGGTCTCTGGAACCTCAGGCTCAACTTCGCCAAAACCTAGTGTTCGGATTCAAACTACATTACCCATAAGGCACTGCGTGGGCTGTCGAACGCGAGCCTCGCGTCAGGGATGGCCAGAGGGGCGTGTCCTACAGCAGTGTGGGCGGGGCTCCCGGCTGCTTCTCTAGACGTCAATTATTTGGTCGTGGCGGGTCTGCACCAACCCACCCTACCGGCTGGCACTGGCAAAGGCCGCGTCCCAGAAGGGGCCTCGAGAGCGAGCAAGGGACGGTGGGAGGACAGACCCCACCGCCACGCTTTTGGGCTGGCCGGCACCCCGCGGGGACGGTGCTCCGCGGAGCGCTCTCCGCAGCCTGGCAGCAGCCCTCCGCCCCGCGGAAAGCGGGGGCCCTGATCCGTGCGCTTCACACCCAACCACCCCAAGGCTGGCGTGAGGGGTCAGCTGATCCCGCCGGGCCGGCTTTTGTCGCCACTTCCCGCGGCCTGGCTCCTGGGTCCGGCCACAAGGTCCCATGGCTGCTCCCGAGCTGGTGAGTGCAATGTCACTGAAGCCCACCGCCCGGTGGCTTGGGTCCAACACTGTAAAATGGGGCTCGCTAGTCTTCTCGCCTTCCCTTCATGCTTTTGGGTCTGGAGGTACTGAGAAAATAGGGTTGGGGGCGGCAAAAATCACTTCAATCCCGGTCAGGGATTAGGAGAGGCCATTTGGGCTCTAACCTTGAGCTGGTCCCTTTGCTACCCTTCACTACCCTTGGTCTCCATTCCCCCATGTCTCAGACTGGAATAGTCTGGAATCCCAGAGGCCCGGTGTGCCATGCGGGTCTTCCTCGGTTGTGAGCTGCCGCTGTCTTCTTGGGCTCACTCCTGGGGCATTGGCCCTCTGGCCTCCCTTTGGGGTGGGGGGTGGGGGTCTCTGTCCAGCTGAGCACAGGGAGAAGACGAGAGGGCCTGGAGAGCAGGCAGCAGCGACTTGGGAAGAGCTGCTCCTCTGAGTACAAGTTCCCTGATAGCTGGATGATGAGGCGGGTCACTGGATTTATCGCTGCGGATGCCATCTCTGCAAGAGCTGCTGCCACTTAACAGCAGTGAACCCACTTTCCTTTATTTGCAAAGTGCCATATTCGCTGGTGATAGTGTCCTCTCCAGCACCCACCTATCTGCTCGCATTGCAGCTCTTCAGGATTTGTCTTATTCATCTTTCGTCACCTGGTTTGCTCCCTAATTTGAATCCAGCCTCATTCCCTTGGAGGGGTCTTCCCTGACTTTCCCAATCACAGCCCCCCTACTCTTTGTAATCATGTATCTTTTGTCATTTTTCAAGCCCTCAGTGCCGCAGGGCTATATCTGCTGTTTGATTTCTTGTGAGGCTCCCCTGTGACCCCACAGTGAGCCCGTTTCTCTGCTGTCCCCCAGAATTGCAGGAGCTGTACCGGCTGCCCGTGAGTGAGCCCCCCTCTAGGCTTCCCATCACCTAGCTTAACTCTAAACCCCCACAGGGCTGGCCCTGGGGGCCCTGGCTCCAAATCTTACTTCTGCTCATCAGTGCTCCTCTGGGCCACCACTTTGAAAGTGAACAGAGCCCTGTTGCTGACGGTGAGCAAGGATGATGGCATCTACACAAGACTGCTGCAAGTTCTGTGACCTCAAACACCTGTGGGCCCCTGGCATGTGCTGGGTGCGGCCATGTTTGTGTTATGAGCTAAGTTTTGATGTGGAAAATGAGACTCAAGAAATTAGCATGTTGGCCCAAAAGGCTGGATTTGAACCCCTCAGTCTAGCCCCAGACCTTTCAGTCGCTTTAACACCTCCGGAGCCCTCTGTGAGCGAGGGCCAGCGAGGCCGAGCTGCGATTTCTTCCCCAGCCTTTTTAACTTCCCAGAGTACTGACTGCTCCTCATAGTGTTCATGTACTTCCCACTGGAGGCTGTTCTCTCCCCTACTCTGTATTGTCAAAAGCATCCCTGGCCTCCATCTGCCCAGCACAGAGCTGGGTTCTAGGACATTTGCAGTGGTTCAGACCTTGGGTCTCTCTGGACTCGAGTTACCCAGCAATAGGCACTCATCACATTAGCAGCCATAAACCCACCCTGCCGCCTGTTTGACTTTCCAGGCACTGGTGTCATTCGAAGACGTGGCCGTGACCTTCACCAGGGAGGAGTGGAGACATCTGAACCTGGCCCAGAGGACCTTATACCAGGAGGTGACGCTGGAGACTTGTGGGCTCCTAGTCTCTCTGGGTAAGGCCTCTGCTCTCCCCGTGGCCCCGACAGCCTCTCATTCCCCCACCAGGCTGGCTGAGAAGGCCTCTGGAGCCACTTCCACTCCTCCCGGCTGCCCCGGGCATGCACTCCTGCCCTCTTGATGGGTACCCCCGTCTGCATCAGGGACTGCTGTATAAGAAGCATTCTTCTCAACAAGCGGGCTTAAGTCTGATGCCCTGATTCCAGATTGCCAACAGAGAGAAGGCGACTGCTTCCACCTGACTGTCATATGCCCTCACACGCCACTTTGCAGGAAGGTCTCTGCGAAGGGGAGAATCGGCCAAAAAGACACTTGTCATCAATGCTACTGGTGTCTTTCTAAGCGATACCATCTCAGCCTACGGCTTCTCGGGCACGTGGTGCCTGCAGCTGGGCCTCGTTTCCTGAGACCCAGCCTTGCTCCTCTGCTGCTGTGGGGGGTCGTTTTAGAGGTGCAGGTTCATCACCAGATGGCACTGGCAGGCATCTGACAAAGCGGTTTCTTTTTCCCTTCTCTTTCCTGCTTCCTGATTGCCATTGAGAGTCTGAGCTTAGTGCTGAATCTTTAATGTCCCCGTTGCGGGTGGTTTGTTCCACCTGCAGTAGAAAGAACCACCATAGGACTCAGCCTGAGCTGGCTGGGGCTTGATGAGTCACCCTTTACTTAGCCCAACTGAACTAGTAGCTATGAAGTGCTTCGAACAGGACTGGGGACAGAACAAGGCTACCAAGCAGGGGCAAATACTCAGCAGTGTGTCTGTTACCCAGAATCACGCAAGGGAGGACATGCAGTGTTCCTTTTGGCGAGGGTGAGACGGTTACCTCCTCGCCTGTGGCTGTCTCTCCCCGGTGAGGCTTCACTGCAGTAAACAGCGTTGACTTGGTGACAGCTGTGATCTGTTGTTGAGGCACTTATGGGACTCATCCCAGGAGAAGGCTCAACATGAGTCGAGCCCCCGAGACGGCAGGGAGCCCAGCTCTTAACTGAGAGGGCACCAGGCCTAACTCTCCTTCCCACTGCCCCCTTGCTGAGTTCTGTGCTGAGCAGGAGGTCATTTGCTAAGTGACAACCGCATGCAGTCGGGTTGGCAGTTCAGCGTTTTCTAGTGGAAGTTTCTGAGGCCCACTGCCTCACTCACTGATCTCTCCTGGACCCGTCTTTAAACCTTCACATTTGGCAGTGTTTGGCTGCATGAACCAGAAAACCTCATGCTGGTATCACCCTGAAAAAATGTAGTGCTTCTGGGGCTATGGTGATGGCTCGCGGGTGAACTGGTGATGGGAAGCCCACGGGGATTACAAGGAAGATGGATAACGGCACACAGTGGTGTAAAAATAAACTATAATAATTTAAAAATGCAGTGCTTCACCTAATGAGAAGCTCCAAGGTGATGCTGTCTCCTCGGTGGGCAGGAGCCACAGCTGTCTGCTGTCTGTCCTCGTCCTCAGTGCGGCCAGGGATGAGGCAGCAGCCTACGGCCTCCGGGTTGGGCTCGCCTCGCTCTCCAGAATGCACTGCGTTACGTCACCGCTACCTCGCACTGCCTCAGCAGACCCGCTCCCCAGGCGGTTCAGCCCAGTGACTTTAGCCGCTTTTGGGTGCCTGGGAAGCTTTAAAAAATGCCGGTGTCCAGTCCAAAGGCCCTGGCGTTTGATTTTAATTTTTTCTGTGTTCAGAATCAGACATTTCTAGGTAGTTCTAATGACAGGGAGGTCGAATCCCGCTGGTGCAGACTAGTGAAGCCTGTTGGGAGGACAAGTCCCCTGCCGGGGTGGTCCCGTGGCCATGTGTACGGGCTTGTCCTCCTGTACATTTGCTGATATATCACACCCCATTTATTTCTCCATGTTCAGGGCATCCTGTCCCCAAACCAGAGCTGATCTATCTACCAGAACTTGGGCAAGAACTACGGACAGTGAGGAGAAGCCGCTCCCAACACGCCCGTGGAGGTAGGTGGCTGAGACTGGCACGTGGAAAATCACGGCGGCTGCTCGCAGGAAGTTGCTGTCGTCATTTCTTTTTGTGGCCTTCCTGAGGGCACGCTGCTCACAGAGCACCTGTCTGTCTGCTGTCTTCACCTCGCTGCATTCGTCCCAGGGTTGAAATGCGGTGTATTAGGTAAATGTCCACTCGACGGCCTCACGACCCTGGGGAAGGTGTATGATTTCCCTGCATCTCTGGCGTACAAAGTAGGCTGGGTTAATGCCACCAGCTATAAAAGCTAAGCTCCAAAATTGAGGGGGGTCAACAGATTCTTTTTCCTCATTTGTGCCACAAATTAACATGATGGTTCAGCAGCAGAACTCCGTGCTGCGGATTTGTCCAGGGACCGAGGCGTGCTGTTGTCAGCGTGTGGCTTCAGGACTGCCCTGGTATCACCCAGCTAAGCAAGAGGAACAGGAGCCAAGGCGAGTCACCACGGCCGCTGGCACAGTCACCTCTGCCACTCCAGTCCGACAAGGACTGGCCACTGGGCTCTGTGTCGTCTCACGTTGGGGAATGTCGTTTGTGTCCTAGGAAAACAGGCCACAAGGGTAATGAATATATTCTCAGTCTGCTGAACTCAGCCGACATTCAAAAAACGTAGTGATAGTTTCAGCATCGCCGGGCTGTTCAAGAAGGCAGAGCACGCTGTCCAACCCAAGGTTACCCACTGGGTACCTTCATGTATCGTTTTGGCGTAAGAGTAATGGTATCATTGAGATGGGAAAAGGCACAAAATGATGTAAAAATAAACTATTGTATTATTTAAAAAAAAAAAAAAATAGTGCTATCTTCCACTTCCTTCCAAACTCGGGGAGGACGGCCCTTTCAGGGATGCTTGCTGCACACCCTCTGCCACCTTCGGCATCCAGTCCTCGGTGTATCTGTCCGCGCACCCTCCCATCGTGAGTCAGCTATACAAAAGCCGTGCCTGGCCATGCCATCCTGTAGGCCTGCCGTCCTGTAAAACCGCAGGGGCTATCTGCTTTGTTGGGGCCACTCTGGGGCTGCGCATGGCAGCTGGAGCCATCAAAGGTGTGGACCGGCACATAGCAAAATTCCATGGAAACCTTTCTGAACTTGCAATTCTGCTTCACCCTTTGACCAGAGACAGTTTATCTTTCATCTATGCCTACTCACGCTTTCTTGAGCCACAATGTTCACATCAATATAAGAGTTCATAGATAATTTCACCATAACCCGCATTTTCTTTTTCCTGCACAACTGTTGATTTGCCATTCATCTACAAAAACATGGCAGTTTGAGAGAACAACGTCACACCTCAACATAGGAATGCTTTACTCACTTTCCACCGGAGCTCCAGTGTGAATACACCCTCACCTTACCCATCTTTGCCCTCCCCTCCGACACACACGCGCACACACACACACACACACAGGTAACCACCTAGTTTCCATACAGTCCAAGAATTATTTTTGTTATGAGTAACCCCAGTTTTTCAAAGGTCCACCCCCCCTGTTTTATTACTCTTCAGAGATATCCAGTCTTTGTTCTATGTAAATTCTACCATCAGCTTATTATTCATGGAGTCCCCTACTGGGCATCTGTCTGAAGTTACATTGAATTTATAGATGAATTTGAGGAGGCCCACCCTGGTGGTGCCGTGGGTTAAAGTGCAGCAAAGTGAAGCTTAGCCCTAGCCACTGCAGTGCAAATTCGATCCCCAGCCAGGGATCTGACCCACATGTGCAGCAGACCTCTCCTGTCTCACCCGCTGCTCCCCTCAGTAGTGGATTTCAGTTGATCTCCTGTCCTTGTGAATCCTCTCACCCCCTCCACACTTCTGGCCTGTACCCTAGTTATTATTGCATAAATAAATCTTAAAAAAAAAAAAAAAAGGATGAATTTGAGAAGAATCAATACTATACCTTATTCTCTTTTTATACAGAGCTTCATTAAGTTCTATCATTTCCTCCACCTAGCTGTCACCTAGTCAGTGTCTGACTGTCTTCTTCCCTCTCACTTACAGGCCATTCAGCATTCTCTCAAAATGCTCAAGCTTTAGCTTTCTGTCTGTTGCAACCTCTCTCCAGTATCTCTCTCTGTGAATCCTTACTCTCACAAAGCTTATATCTGTTTATTCTAGGGAATCTCCACTAACCAATTCTCTGTCTCCCACCTGGACCATTTAGGGGCACCTTCTTATGCTGTCACAACATCATGACACGTCATCTCAGCCTTACACACAATGCATTCGTAACCTGCCCACCCCATCTTGAGGGTGAGGAATCCCTGCTCCAGATTCTGTGGCCCAGCTCTTCCTCATGGCTTTCCTTTTAAGATAACAACCGAGGGTCTCCCTGATGGCACAAGGGGTTAAGTGTCAGCACCATGAAGCTGCCCACAGCTAATGCCACATGAGTTCAATCCCTGGCCAGGGAGCTGACCCACATGGTGCAGCAGACCCCTCCTGTCTCTCTGTCACTTTGCTCAGCAGTGTATTTCAGTCAATCCGCCTGTTCTGCTCCCCACTCTATCTCTGGTGAATCTTCTCATCCTGCCTCCCACACATCTGGCCTGTACCCCGCTCTTGTACATATAAATAAATCTTTTTTTTTTTTTTGAAAGATAACAGGAGACCAAGGATTAGTAGAAAAAGAAATTGCAATCCAGGGTTTAAGAAATATAAAAACATGCCTCAGGGAAATTATTTTCTTCTTCATTCTTCCACTCAAGTGATTTTATTTGTTCTGTGTTGCTATCATCTTTTTTGTAATTGGTTTCCTTCAGGTGACAGAGTGAAACCCACAACCACAGAGCCTGCTGCTGCCCAGCAGGCTTCCACCAAGGAAGCCTCCTCTGAGGAATGCGTAACAGACAGCGCCTCGAGGGAGGTGATCCTGGAGCATGTGAGAGATCAAGAAGAGCGATCAGAAAGGCAGGAAGGGAAGTTGAGGCCAGGAGCAAACACCCAGAAAGAGACATACCCTAGGAAGTTGGACCATAAGCATAACTTAGAGGTTTTACAGGAACAAATAACTACACCAGATGCCCTGCAAGAACATGGTTCCCAGGAACCAGGAAAAGACCCTGTCACTGATACAAGGAGCACCCTCTATGAGTGCAAGGCATGCGGAAAAGGGTTTAGCAAGAACTGGGCCCTGGTCCGGCACAAGCAGATTCATACCGGGGTAAAACCCTATGAATGCAGTGAATGTGGGAAAGCCTGTCGCTACATGGCAGACTTTACTCGCCATATGAGGCTTCACACTGGGGAAAAGCCATATAAGTGTATGGCATGTGGGAAGGCCTTCAAACGCAGGTCTCACCTCACAGAACACCAGCGCGTTCACACTGGAGAGAAGCCCTACGAGTGCCAAAAGTGCAGCAAAGCTTTCACTCACCGTTCATCTTTCATCCAGCATAACATGACCCACACAGGAGAAAAGCCCTTTCTGTGCAAAGTCTGTGGGAAAGCTTTCTACTACAGCTCTTCCTTCGCTCAGCACGTGCGGATCCACACCGGAAAGAAACTCTATGAGTGCCATGAGTGTGGAAAGGCCTTCACTCATCGTTCCACGTTTATCCAGCATAACATGACCCACACAGGAGAAAAGCCCTTTCTGTGCAAAGAATGTGGGAAAGCTTTTTGCGTTAACTCATCCTTCACTCAGCACATGAGGATTCACACTGGAGAGAAACCCTATGGATGCAGTGAATGTGGAAAGGCCTTTACCCACCATTCCACTTTTATCCGGCATAAGAGGACTCATACTGGAGAGAAGCCCTTTGAGTGCAAAGAATGTGGGAAGGCCTTTTGTGACAGCTCTTCCTTAATTCAGCACATGAGAATCCACACTGGTGAGAAGCCCTATCAGTGCCAGCAATGTGGAAAGGCCTTTACACACCACTCTGTTTTTATCCGGCATAATGGGACCCACAGTGGAGAAAAACTCTTGGAGTGTAAAGAATGTGCAAAGGCCTTTTACTATAGCTCTTCCTTTATTCGACACATGAGGATTCATACAGGAGAGAAGCCCTACGTATGCAGAGAATGTGGGAAGGCCTTTACCCAGCCTGCAAACTTTGTTCGGCATAGTAGGGTCCACACAGGAGAGAAACCCTACAAGTGCAAGGAATGCCAGAAGGCCTTTTGTGACAACTTTGCCTTAACTCAGCACATGAGAACTCACACTGGAGAGAAACCCTTTGAGTGTGCAGAATGCGGAAAAGCCTTCAGCCACAGTTCATCTTTCACTCATCATCGAAAGATTCATACCAGTTTGAAAGATTAGGAAGGCCTTTGCAAATGTGTTCACCTCACTCAATTTCAGTGAACTCATACTGGTGAAAGACCTTTCCTTTTGAACCTAACCATTCATGAAAATTTTTGTTTTTTAGCGTTTACTGAAAATAGAAAAAATAAATGTAAATGTGGGTAAGAGCAGAGATGTTCCTGATTTTATTTTTTAAGTCATTCATTTGGTGCAGTTTTCCATCTTAGTTGTAATCCTCATGGGCCTCCCATCACCAATTTACCCATGTGCCATCACCATCATCCAGTGCACTCTTCCCACCTCAGTTCCAATCCCATTCTCTCTCCCACCCCCATAAAATGTCTCTGGTTTATAGTTGTTCATTGTTTTCATTTTGACTCTATTACATTTGTTAGTCTCTCTCTTTTTTCTTCTTCCCTGATCCCTTATGCTCCTGCTATGAGTGAAACCATCCAGTATTTTTCTTTCTCTTTCTGGCTTATTTCACCAAGCATGATCCCTTCCAGGTCCATCCATGTTGATGCAAAAGGCACAAGTTGATTTTTTTGATTGCTGAGTAATATTCCACTGTGTATATGTACCACATCTCCTTAATCCAGTCATCTATTTTTGGGCATTTGGGTTGATTCCACATCTTCCTTATTGTAAACAGAGCAGCAATAAACATGGGGGTGCAGGTGTCCTTTTGAATCAATGTTGTTTTTTTTAAAGATTTATTTATTTATGCATATAAGAACTGGTGAGGGGTGAGAGGGTTTACCAGAGACAGAGTGGAAGCAGAACAGACAGATCGACTGAAATACACTGCTGAGGGGAGCAGCAGGTGAGACAGAAGAGGTCTGCTGCACCATATGGGTCACTTCCCTGGCTGGGGATCGAACTCCAGCTGCAGTACCACAGTGGCTACAGTGACTTCATAGAGCTGTGCTTTAACCTGCTGCACCACCAGAGAGGGCCCCATGAAAATATTTTGACCAGAGAAATATCTTAGTATCTGATAATTCATACTGAAGAGAAACATCATAATTACCATCTCTTGGAAAGTGTTTTGTGGCAGGTAATCACTTGTCGTTACAGTTTAGAAATGTAAAATTTCTGAACCCAGCTTAGACCTTTATGTCTATTCAAGCATCATCCACCAGGGAGACTAGATGGCTATCGTGCATTTAGGGAAAACAACAATTTTTGGATTGTTTCCTGCTCTTCAATGGCTACACAATCATTATCATTTACATTACAAATCCATCTTAAGACTATTTTTTAAATTATTTTTAAAGAATATTTTTAAAAACAAGGAGTAGTAGAGATGTAGAAGAGAAAGGGGTAAGAAATGCATGGGTGACTTCCTCCCAATTTCCCAGTCAAGCCTGTGAAAATCTGCCGTTTGGGGGTGGAGGAGTTGGGCAGGAGAGATCAAAGGCTCCGGCCCCTTTCTAGTTTTCGTACAGCCAGGGTTAGAGCAGTTATAAGGGCAGCTCTGCCAACGCTGATTAAAAGTGTAATTTATTCCAAAAAATCTTAATGTCTACTCTTGAATAACAGGTTTTTGGGGAAATATAAAGGCCTGAGTCTTTTACGCAGATAAAGGCAGACGTGCGGTTAGTTCTTGACATTCATCATATATTCTGTCAATTCACTATAAATGCAGACAGTGAGTGAATTCTGAACCACTGCTTCCAGGGGAAATACAGGCCTAAGGTCCTCTGAGCCTTTCATTATATTTCCATCATCAATCAACACATAACCTTTTATGGAATTTTTTTCTACTAAAAACACACCTTCTGTTTTTCATAACATGTTTCTTATCAATTATGTGGTAGCATTTCATTATAATAAAAATGTTTCAGTTGCATCATTTTGTGTAATGTACCCTTGTTATTGTATAAACTTTCACTCAGCTGAACGCATACCAACAGTACACATTTGAAATGCTCATAATAAGTAGTAAACACTACAGTATTACAAACACATGCTATACTATATTGTAGATTCATGCAAAGAACATCCTAAGAAAAATTAAAGATTAATAGAGGGTCCTCCCTGGTGGCGCAACAGCTTAAGCGTAGCACTACACATACACAACATGGCCTTTGTACACTACACTATACAAGTGCCATGTTGCATTGTACCAGGTTCTGAGGTTGGGTATTCCTCTGCTTAAAGGTTATTTGGGCTATGTGGAGTTGCTTGTAATTCCGTATGAACTTGTTTATTTCCCCCACTTTGGCAACAATTAAGAGAAAAAGGCTGTCAGAATTTTGATAGGTTGCATTGAATCTCTGAATCTGGCAGTACTGTCAGACAATAGGAAGACATTAAGTCTTCCTATTTTGGGGGAATATGAGCATCTTTCCATTTATTTAGGACTTCTTTAATGTTATCAAAGCATTTTTTGTTTTCAGAGTACAAATCTTTCAGCTTCTTGACTGTATTTATTACTATTTTATTCTTATAGGTACATTAAAATGGAAGGTGTTTCCTAGTACCTTTTTTTGATTGCTTCCTACTCTTCTATGGCTACACAAATGATTCTGGAATACTGTGTATCTCTACCCGTTCACCGGTCAGTGGGCACTTGGGTTCTTTCCTTATCTGCTATCGCAATACTGCTGTGGTGGGCATAGGGGTACATAGTTCCTTCCCAGCCACTTTTTTCATAATCAAATAAATACCCAGAAATGAATCCTAGGTTTTTACCTGATTTTGGTATCAGAACACTGGTTTCATCAAACAAGGGAGTATTACTTCCTCTTCAATTTTTTGAAGAATGACAGGGATTCATGTTATTTCTGTATTAAGTGACAGAATCCACAGGTAGAGTTAACTGGCCCAGCAGCTTCTTTGTTGAGAGGTTTGCATCACTGATACAGGTCTGGTAAATATTCTATTCTTGCGTTGGTTTAGAAAGTTTCTGATTCAAGAAATTTGCTTGGTTTTCTAATTTGTTGGCATGTAACTAAGATTCTTATTACTTTTATCACTATAAAGTCAGTAATAATAACTCCATTTTCAGTTATTATTTGTTTCCTCTCTTCTTCCCTTAGTCTATGTAAAGCTTTGATTTTGCTAGTTTTTTCAGAGCCAACTTTTGGTTTTATGGATTTTTCTCTATTTTCTATTTAGTTTATTCCCATTCAATTTTTATATCCTTCGTTCTGTGGCTTTTGGTTTAGTTTACCTTCTTTGAAGTTCCTAAAGGTATAAAGTTAGATTCCTGGTTTCAGCTTTTTAGGTAGGCCATTGCTGCTATACACTTCCCTCTTGACAGTGCTTTTGTAGTATGCCAGTATTTTGCAATGTTTTCATTTCCACTGGTCTTTAAGTAATTCTGACTTACTTGTGATTTCATCTGCAACCACTGGCTGTTGTGTCAGTTCACTCAGGCTGCTATAACAGAATACCACAAACTGGGTCACTTACAAACAGCAGGAAGTTGGCATTCTAACACAGCAGGGCTCTCGTCCGTGTCACAAATGTCCCCCAGCTTCCTCACAGTGTAGGGGACTAGCGTCTCGTGATACCTCTTATGAGGGCGGTAATTCCATTTATGAGGGCTCCACACCCATGACCTATGTATCTCCCCAAAGCCCCACCTCCACCTCCTAATACCATCATATTGGGCGCTAGGAATTCAGCACACAATCTGAGAACACATTGTAGACCATAGCAACTGTTCAAGTATGTAGTTTAGTTTCTGCATGTTCGTGAATTTTCCAGTTTTCCTTTAATTTCTAACTGCATCCTATTGTGGTCAAATGAGTTGCTTTCTAGATCTTTTAACATCTATTTAGACTTGTTTTGTGGCTTACTGTGTGGTCTACCCTTGAGAATGTACATGCACGTGAGCACGATGTATGAATCTGTTTGGAGGGAGTGTGGTTAGGTACGGTTGGTTTATTGAGCAGTCTGTCTCATCTACTTCATCTTCTGTGTGGCTTATGACCCGCCAGGGTACTGTGGTCTCCCATTATTAAGCAGGTTGTCTATTTCACACTTTGGTTGTCAATCCCTACCTCTCTTTGAGCGACCATGTATGCCTACAGCTTTTTCAATGACTTTCAACCTATTTGTGTCTCTAGACCTGATGCCTCTTGTAGACAACATGCAGCTGAATCATAAGTGTAAAGATCTTTGTTAAACTTGTCATTGGGACACATTTAAAATAACTACTGGAAAGGAATAATTTTTTGTTTGTGGAGGCATGAGACCTGTGGTTACCGAAAGAAAATCCGGATCCAGAATTGGTAATATTTAATTGCTTGCACACTGCACATAAACCTGAAGATAGTGTTGTATACACCACACAGGTGTCCGG